GTGAAGAAGAACTCTTTTCCCCATGGAGAGAAAACAACCCTTCATGGAGATTTTTGGATTTTACTATTTGTTTCTATTTACATTTTTAACAATGAGGCTTTTTGTAATGTATATTAAAATTAAAGTGTTAGGGTCAATTTCATACTGTTTTAAGAGCTTTGAAGGAATTTTTTGGGCAGTGTGAGCCGGAAGTAGAGAATTCACATTTACTGTTACTTCACTTTCCATCTAGTGTATTTTATTTACTCTTTGTTCGTTTTTAATATACTAGTATTTATTTCGACATTTAATTTTTACTCCAAACTTCATCTGTCAAACAAGAATAGTAGTANCATTTAGGACCAGCCATTAAAAGATATAAAATCAATTTGTACTACAGTTTCCAAAAATTTTTTTATGTATATTGATTACTTTTTTAACTTTTTCAATCCGTGGTAAATAATTTCCAACTCACACATAAGAGCCCATCATGAAGGTAAGACTAATGGGCTCAGTTGATATTTTAGGCCCATGAGCAAATGACGCAGGGGCTTACCAATCTTATGGGTCACGTGGCCCCAATATATTTGTGAAAAAAGTGTTTTGGTTATAATCATTTGATTCTTCAAGTGTCTCTATATGTTGTTTTATTTTGTAGATAAAGTAGAGACAATTAGCGACTAATACGGAATAGCAATTGGTTTACGAAAATGTTTTGATGTGCAAGTGAGACTGCATTACATATTACTATACGATGTAATTAACCTAAATATGATCGAACTAGTTATACTATAGACTATATAGTTCATAATTTTAGAAGAAAAAACTATCATGACTATAGAGGAATTAGATTAAATTTAGAAATGCAACTCGTAATGTTGGTCGCTAGTTCTATTATATTTGAAAGAGATGATTTACGTCTTAAATAGATTGTTATTGATACTTTGGTTCCAAACACTTGACGAGATTGTTCGGAATTTCTAGACTTTTATTATATGGAAAAAAACTTTGAAGGCCATGCTACATCTTAGTTAAATATCATTTATTATTGAAAATATTTGTATACATCCGACAATCCCATCTTTATATTTATATACATCCGACAATCCCATCTTTCTTTTAAAATTCAAAAAAGAAAAATCATATATATCTTTATATTTAGAGAATCGTGGAGACTTCGAATCTGAGATTATGATACAGATTTGTGATCCATTACGAAATAAAAGTATAATTATAAATTTGCATCTTCATTATTCCCACGATTATAAAAGCCAAACAAATGGAAAATAAAAATTAATATATTTAGATTTTCTTTATCATCGTACAAGATCCCAAATAACTGTCACTGACATAAACACAAAGCTGCTTACCAGTTTCCACGGAATCAATATCAAAAAACAAAAACACCACTTCTTTCATAAGTTAGAAGGAAAGATAGATAAAATCATATCAAATCAGCTCTTGATATATTGCTATCCTAAATATCCATATATAATTCCAAAACATAATACCACAAATATTATATGAATATATTTATATATTCTTCATACATTCATACTCAAGTCTTTGGGATTTGTCAATTGTCAACGTCGTCTTCTTCTTCATTTGTACGTTTGTCTCTGTTTTCATAAGGTTTGAGATTTAAAATCACTAATGTCCTGTATTAATGTTGACTTATCTCTTTTCTTCATTATTAATTGTGCAGTTTCTTTTCTCAGTTGCTTCACTAGACAAAAAAAAAAGTAAATATTTCAATGGAGGAAGAGCTTCATGTTTTAGCAGTAGATGATAATCTAATTGACCGCAAACTCATAGAGAGAATCCTCAAAATCTCTTCTTGCAAAGGCAAATTATAGTATCATTCAAATCTCCAATCATTTTTTCCTCTCAAGTTTCAAGAACCCCTGAAATGTGAAACTTGATTTTACTCTTTTTTTTTTTGTGTNCAGTGACCACAGCAGAAAATGGGCTTAGAGCATTGGAGTACTTAGGCTTGCAAGATCCACAAGAAACTAATTCATTAACTACCACCAATGTAAGCTTAATCTTCAAGTTTTTATTTTATCGTCAGGGAACATTTTTATTGGCTTAGTTTAATGCTCCCCTCTTTTGGGCTTTTGGCTTCGAGGACATTTAGAGGTTCACCGGCTTATTATGGCTTATGGCTCTTGTAGTTCTCTGTCGGGTTTTATCATGACATTAAAAAAAAAAAGGACCCAATTGTGTAAATCCAATGATTTTTGTAACCTTTTGGTGGTCTTTTTTTTCAGGTTATAAAGGTGAATCTTATCATTACGGATTATTGTATGCCAGGAATGACAGGTTTTGAGCTGCTCAAGAAATTGAAGGTGCTAACAAAATTCTTACAAATCAAAATTCTTCTTGAAAAGATCCATTGACTAACAATTTTTTCTTTTTCTTCGTTTGTACTATGGGTTTTTGGTTATTGATAGCAGGAATCATCTAATTTAAAGGAAGTACCTGTTGTGATATTGTCTTCAGAGAATATTCCTACTCGCATCAACAAGTAAAATTATTATTCCTCATAATGAGAAACATTTG